ACCACGCCCAGTCTCAATTGCTGCCTCAGCATACCCCAGGGTTAAGGCCAGCATGGCAGGCCTGGGGGTTGAACCCCTGGCTCCTGCGCCTGCCGAGCTATTTGGCCAGCCCTCTTTTTTGTTTCTGATTTTTCTCTTTTCCTGATTTCATTTCAGTGAATTGAGTACTCTGTTTTTTGTCTGTTACTGGTGGTGGCTGCTGTTGCTGTTTCTTCTTCTTCTTCTTCGTCGTTGTCGTCGTCCTCGTCCTCGTCCTCGTCTTCCTCTTCTTCCTTCTTCTCCCTCTGCTACTTCTCTCCTTCTTTCTCTCCATCTTCTCATCCTTATTTTTCTCCTCATCATCCCTTTTCATTCTCCTCTTTTTCCTCCTTCTGCTCCCTCTTATTCTTCTCCTTCTCCTTTTCCTCCTTCTTTTCCTCCTCCCCCTCCTCCTCTTCCTCTTGTTCTTATTCTTGTTCTTCTTCTTCCTCCTCTTCTTCTCCCCCTTCCCCATTACCTCCCCCTCCTCCTCCTTTTCCTTTTCTTCTTCTCCTTCTCCTCTTCTTCTTCCTCCTCCTCCTCTTCTTTCTTTTTTCTTCTTTACTGCTGGTTGAACATAGGGTATTTGTACTGGACAGATCCCTAGCCTTTTTGAGTATATGTGCTGCTGAAGTGAGCACCATATCTTCAGCCTTCTAAAAACAGTGTCTCATTAATTCCCAGGCCAGTTTCATACTTGTGATTCTCTTGCTCCAGCTTCCCAAAGTGCTGGGATTATAGGCATGTCTCACTGCAATCAGCCAGTTATTCTATTTCTTTAACTTATTATAGTGTACCAGCAAGTGATACATCACTTTCCACATATAAAACCTTTCAACATGAGCCTGCACTTTCCACTCCTGACTTATTTTATAGATTAAGGGTTACACTCAGACCATGTCTAAAAAAATAGGACCATCTCATAAATTTTCCTTCTTCTTCTTTTTTTTTTTTTTTTTTTTTTGCAGTAAAGGGGATTGAATTTAGGACCTTGTGCTTGCTAGGCAAGTGCTCCTTCCATTTTTAATAGCTTAAATATTTCTTAATGGAAGTTTACTTTTAATGAATTTCTCAGCTTTAATTGAGAAAGACTTTATTTTGCTTTTCTGCATGAAACCTAGTTTCACTGGTAATAGTATTTTATGCTTTCTTTTTTAATTTTTTTTTCCTTTTTTGGTAATGGTGGGGATTATAGACAGTTTTCCTCTTGTACTTTTTAAAAACATTTTGCTTTTGATGATTTGTTTCATATTTGTTTTATTTTGGGTTTTTATTTTTTAAAGAGAGTACAAATTATAATTAAAAAAATTACAAGTGATATGACATTTCACTTAATAAAGTAATATGTGTTTCAGAGTATTTGTTGTAATAAATACTGGTGTCTTTCAACCAATTGTTTATATGACCAGATATACGCATGTAAAATTGGAAGAAGAAAGAAAATAAGAGAAATATGTAAGAAATTAAGAAGAGAAAAAGTACAAAAAATTGAAAAAAGGAGATGAAACAAATTAAAGCATTAACTGCTTCTTTCCAGAAGCACAAATGCACAGTACAAACCATCCTGCTTATATGCATATATAAATTTCTTTCCCCCAC